TCAATACCATAGTGTCATAGCTTGATTTTGCGTAGTTAGAACATATTAAAATTCTTTTAAAATAAATAATTATAATGATATTTTTTAAAAATATATACATTTACATCATGCTTTTTAAATAAAATTTAAGTTTTTATGATAATATTAGTAATTATTTTATTAATAAGTATACATGAATCTAATATACAATTGTTTTTTTATTATGCATAGATATTCAATAAGAATAAAATATATCTTTTGTTGTTTGTTTTTATTGTGAATTTTTATATAGGTTTTTTGAATTAATTGGTCAAGTATTATTAAGATATGATTTTTTATTATTAAAACTTACTTTTCATATCATGATTATTTTTTATTTTAAATACCATTATTCTAATAAAGACATGCTTTTGTCAAAATTATACACACACATATATATATATATATATATATATATATGAAAGGAAAAGGGAGTTTTAGCTCAAGAAATACACTTTTTTCTCCTTGATTCAAATCATTAAAAATTTTACAGAGATAGCTTATGAAAATGACTTGTCGTTTGTTTTTAGCTATACATAAGATGAAAAAACTAGACTCAAAAGAAAGTATATTTCAAAATGAAAATTGCAAGATGCGCTGACCTAGCGTTGCAAGTCAATGTGTGCTTAGATTGTCTTTGCAAGTTCAGGCATGACTAAGCTTCATCTACTTTGCCCTTCATTTTTTTTTCTTTTTTAATTATTTTATATTTTAAAATAAATTTATTTTTAAACAAATAACTATAATGATATTTAATAAATACCATAATTTCTAAATATAATTTGAGCTTTTTATAATATTATTAGCAATTATTTTATGAATAAAGATATATGAATCTAATATGTAATTCTTTTAAAAAAAAACTTTACATAGATATTAAATTAGAATAATATGTCTTATATTTATTGTGAATTTTTATATATTTTTTAAAATTAACTATTCTTTTAATGTTTCATACATTTGTATAAAAATTATCAAAACATGATTTTTTTTTATTGAGTTTTACATTTCATGATTAGTTTTTATTTAAAAAACTATATATGCTTCTAATAAAAAAAGATATTCTTTTGTAAAAAAATAGAGTGTTTGTTTTATTTAGAATTTTTATAAATATTTATTTTAATTACCTGGTTTTTTAATTACAAAAAGCATTGTTATTAATAAATAAAAAAGACATGTTGTGTGAAGATTAAAAAAAATACAAAATTTTGTAAAGAGAATTTCCATTTTATGATAATAAAATTAAATAAAAATAAAATATAAAAATGATACCATCGCGGGGCATATTTAATATTGTGTAAGCAATATATATATATATATATATAGACTGAGAGAGAGCGCGTAATTAACAAACAGATATAGGTGCAGAAAGCGCCTAGGGTCATAAAGAAGAGGAGAAATCCTTGCTTCCTGGAAATTAACAAACAGATATAGATTTGCCGAAATATCCGGTAGCCTAAACACGTGTTAATATCACCACTCCCGTTTTAACATCCTCCTTAACAGGCAACTAACTCCTTTTTCACATGCCTATTTCAAACTTACCATAATACCCTTCCCGCATCCACTTGGCATTACCATAATACCGGTCCTGTCATTCCTAAATTACGCGCTCTCTCTCAGTCTATATATACATACATATATATATATATATAATATTTATTTGTTGGCCCCCCATCTCCACCCCTACAACACCACCATCACCGCTCAAAACCACAAATTCAGGTGCAAAATAATTAATTTATTTATCTTATGAGCCCAGCAAATCTCCATGATCACAAAGCAAAGACCAAGAATATGTACCCACCACCACCCTTGAAAGTCAACAAGGACTCTCACATGATCAAAAAATCATTTCCATCACCGCCGTCGTCATCTTCATCCTCCGCGTCTTCGCTAGCTGTTACAGGTCCCATCAAGCCCCATCCGGTGATCATCTACACCCACTCGCCCAAAGTCATCCACACAAACCCTAAGGATTTTATGGCATTGGTGCAAAAACTAACGGGCTTGTCGCAGTCCGAGGATGACCCATCGGCACCTCACGTAAGGAAAGAAAATGGTAATAGGGTGGTGGCCATGGAGGAAAACAAGAAGGTGAAGTTTAACGATGATAATGAATCGTCTTCAGCTATTACTGATCATGAGAATTATGGGAGCATTGGTGATCGAGGACAATGTTTTATGCCACGCCATCCTAATTACATGACTAGTATTCCAATCTTTACACCTAATTTAGCTGAGTTTCTTTGTGCAAACCAGCCATGCTATAATAACTATACTACGGATCCTTTATTTCTTTCCTTCTCCAAATATGATCTCAGCAACTTCTGCCTTGGAGGTGAAGATTAATGAGTTCTGCGGGTATTATTAGTTTTCTTTCTTCTGATTTTGGAGAGAAGACAGTCTCTTGGCAGAATCTTTTTCTTCTTCTTCTGGTTTTAGTGTCAATAAAAGCTCCGATACATACCTATTCATATTTTTTATTCAATTTCAGAAATAAAGTGTTAAACGATGTTTCATTTTGTTCTGTGTATAAATAGTTGAGATTTGCTCATTGTTCTTGAGAATTAGTGCTTGTAACCTTTTTACCATACATGTGTAGATATATATAGCTGCTCCATCATTAAGGGAAAATATACTGGTATTCTTGCTTTGCAAAGTACATTGCTTTTGCATGAGGTAGTAATTATTTTTTGTGTTCATGTCTGCAAAAGAAAACCATATCGAGAATTTTACGTTTGTTTCAAATTTAAATTTAGACCACAGTTATGGATTGTAAAGATGACGACAGCTCAATGAGGATAAACGACAGCTACAGTTCCAAAAAGAAAGCGTGCCGTTTCAATATTTTACGTACAGTTGATTTCACCTCAAGTAAAGAGAGAGATCAAAGTGGGAATTACCGTTAGAAAATAAGACATGTATTGTTGAATCGAACATATGTACATGTACTCTTGATAAGACAGAGATTCAGAACAGCTGTTTTTCTGCATGCAAGTGTAATTCGAATTCAGATTCTTTTTTTTAGGTAGCTAAGCTAAGTGTTCCTAAATTATTTAGGATCCAGTTTTGGATTTAGCTTTAGCAATCTAAAGGAACAATAAGATGCTGAAACTAATGTGGGTTATGGAGAGTGATTCATTTTTATGGAATGTTTTTTAATTTTTTTTGTATTTGTTTATTTTTTTAAAAAAATTAGCCAATAAATAAAAGAAAATTTTAATTTGTTTTCTAAATTTTTTAAGCAAAAAAATTCAGAATTATCTTATTATTTATTAATTATATCAAATTTAATCCTTCATTGTTTTATTATTTTATATATATATATATATATATATTTTTCAATTTCATTCTTTAAAATTTAATTTTTATTTTTTTCCCTCTTATCCTTATCCCCATTGAATTTTTTTTATCTATCAAATTTTATCTTTATTTTTTTATATATCATATTTAATTTCTATTCTTTTAATTGTTATTTGTTTTATTTGTTATTTGTTTCATTTAAAATAATTTATAAAATTAAATTTTCTTTCAATTTCATCCATCTACTTTATTATTTATCATAATAAATTATTTTTCATAGTTTTTATAACACTAATAAAGAACATAAAATAATTCACATTACATGGAAACCCTTTCCAAAAAATAACCATTTTCCAGCAAACACGCATTCATTGAAAATAAACAAGTCCTTGTAGTAGTAAAACATCAACTTTTTAAACTCTTTGTTTTCCTAATAATGATTCTTCTTCCGTGGTTGAGATTTACACTCGCACAGATGATTCTGTGGAAACATAACTGTACATGTATAAAAGGGAACACCATTACTTCTTCTTTTTGTCTTCCTTTTCTCTTTCAAGAACAACAGGAGCTGCTGGTATACTGAACCACCACTCCCTTAATCTCCTTGTCCATCTTTCTGTGCTTGCTTTCCTTGGAGGTGAATATCTTGTAAATGTCTCCAAAAAGATCAACAGGGTAATGTACTTGCTAGGTACGAAAACCACGACCAAAGCAACACACAGGAGAGTGAAAGCAAATTTCTCGCTTGCCTTGTAATTACATAAACACCCAAAAGCAGAATGCAGTTGAGTAATTTGAATAGAATATGGAGAATAGACGTGTAATTATACTCCTAATGCACTTATGATTTATGACATATGAAGAAGGTTAAAATTAGAAAAGATCAGACATGCTGGCCCGCAAGGAGAGTGACAGAGAGTAACCTGGGGGAAAATGGACAACAGCAAGGCACGAAACTTGAGGAGGATAATGTTTCCATCCTGGATGAACTGTTCAGCTTGAGAAATAGCATTCTGAACAGCTAAAAGCTGCTCCACCGTGTTCATTGGTGGAGGTGCTATTACCTTGAGTTTATCAACAGGCCTTCCTTGATTACAAAATCGTGTGAGCACCATAAAGATAGCAAGAAAGATGGTCATCAATCCAAAGGCATAGCTCAGCCATCCCCTAAAATGCAGATCCAGTAAGTACTTGTTGAAGGAAAAAACTGTCTCCGTAACATTGTAGAGAAATCAGCCTAATCCTACAGAGAAATCTCTCCCCCTTTCAGGAACTTCCTCCTCTGTGACACTATCTTTCAACAACTGTGAATGTATAAAGAAATTTACATAATTGCACCTAGGTTTTCATCCAAGATCAAATATGCTTCCTATCAATCCAGAAACATTTTGATATATATGATTAGATATATAACTAGCTAATATTTTAGAAAGATTCACCCATAAATCAGTTTCGCACATTTCTCAAAGTGGCTTCGAAGGGCTATGAAATCAAATAGGAATCCATGGGAGAAAGTTCATGAATGCTCTTTCTGAATCCAATAACCAGAGTCCCACCATTCATTATTTACATATGAAAAAACCTCTAGTGGGAAAAAAAGATAGAGTTCTGACATGACCATCATATTCAAATCCCATGGAAGGCAAATTTGAAATGGCTACCAAATCTGTATTTCAAAAAAAAAAAAAAACCATTATGCAATTCAATCTTCTGTTGGTGCACAGAATGCATCCATGAATAAACCATTTCACACACAAGATTATGTCAGTAACTGTGCAATTCATGTTTCCATCCTAATAAAATCCCAGTCTCCAACAGTTAAACTGGGGCAGGTTGGAAATATTTGGAAATCACACAAAATTATTGTTTGATTCGGTTTCTAATACAGTTGACCATGAAAAGTTTGTTCTTTAACACGATTTTGTTTCATTTGTCTTTTATGATGAAAACTAGTAGTGACGGTAAATTAAGATAAAGAACCTAAATTTTCAAGCTAGGTTCATGCTTTTGAGGGCTTCGCAAATCAAGAAAAGAGAAAAAGAAGTGGATTTTTTTTTTGGGGGAAAGAGAAAAAGAAGTGGATTTTTTTTTTTTTTTTACCTAAATTTTCAAGCTAGGTTCATGCTTTTGAGGGCTTCGCAAATCAAGAAAAGAGAAAAAGAAGTGGATTTTTTTTTTGGGGGGGGAGATTGAAGAGAAAACTATCATCCCAACCTACTAGACGGTACAAAGCAAATGAAAAGGGCATAATTTGGTTTAGAGCCCAAAGGACAGGCAAATAAGGGGCAGGCTAGATTTCTTAATTCTAGGTAATCCAGCAAGGAATTCAACATACTACATATTGCATTCATAGCTTTGATCATCTAATGAGAGCACTTCCAAAGAAATTAAAATCTCAAAGGCACCCTTTATTGCATTTAAATATAACCAGTGATTTCCATCCCTGTTTAATCCTTTAGACATTTATATGAACTATACAGCAGTGTCGATAAACAAAAACTCCACTACTATTAGGATAACTTGATGATTTTGCATCATTATAGTAAGCCCAACAGTAAGCAATAATGTAATTAATGTCTTACCTCCAAATGACATAAGTGTGAACCAAACAGAACACCAAAGACTTCATAGGGTCATCCCAGTGTATCAAGGAAATAAGCCACTCCACAACTTCCATAACAGGGAGAAGTAACTCCTGCGAACACCAGATGTTTGCAAGGAATATTAGAAAGATTATTGAAGGTACTATATAAAAGAGCTTTAAGAAAATGGCCTGTTGTCACACAAAAAAACTCAATATATTCTTGGCAACTTTATTTCAAATAATGTAAATAGCAGAAAGAATTCAGGCACAAAAAAGCCGTTACTGATTCCTATAGGGTAATTTATAGTTCTTAGCCTTGTCAGCAAACATCTCCATTTCCATTCATTCTAATGTCTTACCATGGCATTGATGATGGAAAGGAATAGAGGCAGATGGAACAAGGAAGCAAATGTGCTTGGTAAAATTGAAACTCAGAGTTACTTAGTACTATAACTAGCATCACCTTCATTACTGCCAGATTGGTATCAATGCCATCTACTTTAACTCCATCAACTGTTTCTTGTGCTAGCACAGTTTTTTTGTAGCTGTTTTGAGATTCCTTAACCACCTTCTCCAATGAACTCATCTCTCCCACAGCTATCTCACCAACAACAAGCCCAGCCTCATTAAGATCACCTGAACTTGTTCCTAGCACAAACCCTAAATTGGAAATCATGGCCAAGGAAGAGATTGAATACATCCCACCTCCAGCCTTATAATTGTTAGTCCGATCTAGTTCCCTTATGGAGGACATGTTTGCCAGGGTTTCCAGTATCAAATCTCCACCAGGAAGTTGATCACAAAGATTAAACATAAGAAGAGTTTCACAGCAAACAGAATTCACAGCACTAATTTCTTGAATTGCTTGAAGTCGCAGAATTCCAAGCACAGCCCTTGAAAGAGCTTCATCCCGTTCAACTCCAGAGATCTTGAACTTTTTTATAAATCTGTGAACGTATAAAATTTCCCGAATAATTGCCAACCAGTAATCACGACGAGTATGGCCTTTAAGCTCAGGAAACTCAATGACAGCTGGCTCTGATCTACATGAGAAACAATTAGAGGTTAATGCTAATAAAGTTCAAAACATATGTTTCATCAATGGAAAGGAAAATAAACACGAATCATGCCTTACAAGGAAATAGATTTATAGAAGACTGCCTTGTCAAAAAGACGAGTACCCCATGGCCCAGTCAATTCAGGTTTAATAATCTGTTTTAGGTCATCTGACAAATCATATATTTTTGGCTTGTCATAGGATACCACACGGAGAGCTTCAAAGTACAGTGCATGGTCGGTGAGAGTTAGACGACCTGTATGCACATGACAGTAAATAGAAGAAATTAGGCAAATATTGCACAGCATATAGTTATCAGAAGTACGGGGAAATTTTATCATCTTTCTATATCATAACCTCTTTTGCAAGTATGTTACACCTTACCTTGATTTCCTTTTCACAAAGAGAAGGGAACAAATACAATGAATTTACCGAATCACTTATCCAATGAACCTACCTGGCCATGTAGATATTCCAACATGTTCAAGAACTGGTTGGGTTGTCACTGTTCCATCTACTTCCAGAATCTTCTCTCTTCTTGACAATCGCAGTGTAGAAAGGAGTGATGAATCTGATTGAGTCTTCATCTTTTTTATTGCCCTGTAGAGAATATAAACATAAAATATAAATCCTGGATGTATGTGCCTACACAACATAACATTACAGGTGCAAAAATATATTGATCCTACTGAACATAAAAATTGCCACTATATATTGCACAATCTTTAAATGAAATATTATGATCTTTACAATCAGGTATATTTAAAGAGAACATTTTGCGGGTTGTCAAAAAGGAAACAAAAATAAAACTGTACAGCCATTTCTGAATGAAACATCATCTTAGTCACATCATTCAGTCAGCTTTTATGGTGACACCTAACAAGATCCAACCTGATATATTCTATATATTGATAGGATAACAAGAAAAAAACATCAAGGAAGAAAAAGGCATCAACTCAAAACAAGCCTGACACACTATTAAAAGCTCTATACAAAATGCAACTAATAAGGATAATTTGCTAGCTGATCTAGCTTTATGTTTCACTGTGTGGTAATGGATATGTGAGGTATTTATGTGACCTTCCTTGGACATAAATTTTTTGATAGGGTTGTGAGTAAGGCTGTATGCTTTCTTGATAATCCATATTGTTTCTTTGTGATGTATTTTACGATATAGTCTCTTCCTGTGTGATTTAACAAACAAGTACATGAAAAAAATTCAGTTCCTGGGAATAAAGCAGACAGAAAATAATAAATGAGAAAAAAAGAGCATTCTAGGCAAACCTAAGAAGTAAGAAACTTAATAAATATAGAAAAACAAAAGTACTTCAGCATTTGTTGGTTGGGCAACTACATCATAAAATGACAGGTGCTTGTACTGCATGACAAAGGATCTTGTTGGAAACGATGTACTGTACATCCCATCAGTTAAGGAACAAAAAAGTTACCTTTCTAGTCCACTTAGGTACTTGTCATAGATGGAGAATTGAAGCCGGCCATCAGTTGCCTTAGTAAGCACATCAAAAAGATTTTCACTGATAACCACATTGGCAATGATTGGAACCGCTGGAGCTATTCGAGAGAAGGCCTCTAGACCAACTGTTAAGTCCTCATCTAACTAAAAGGAAATAAAATCCACAGTCAACAAATCAACAGTAAGGTGCCATAAACTTTCTACATAAAATTGCTCCATATTAGCCAAAACATTCAAAAGGACAGGGGAAAATGCAGATACTAGTAACAAGCACACAAAGACCAACATGCATGCATGAGCTTAGAGGGATGGGGGAGTGGGTGTATGTTTGGAATTCAACATTAGATTCTTCTAAACCTTCTACAATATCCATGCAAGAAGGGAGCAAGTGTGAATCTCCATGCCAAAATTGTGAGAAACAGCTTAGTTATATATAAAAAAAAACTGATGTTATTTTGGACATCTAGTGACATACAAATGAGTAAGGTCAGCATGATTAAGTGCAGAATTTTACATTGAGCACTGGTTGGCTAGCAGCTGCTGGAGTAGTCCAAGCTAGCATCATGTCATATGTCAACCGTCGGAACTTTTTATCAGCTAGATGACCAGTTACTTGAGTTGATAAAGCCAGTGCTCTGAAGCAACAGTATTCCAAGAAGTTTCTCGCATAACAGGAATGATGCTTTAATGAATCAGAAGCCTCTGCATTGAAGCTTTCTTGAAGTTCACAAGCAGAAATGCCAAGGATTCTGCATCATAGCCCTTGACCATAAGGAGATGAAAATTGCAGTAGAAAGGAAATTCATATACTTTGAGTTAGCAATCAGACTGTCTAAGTGAAAAGGGAACACCAGCCTACAAGATGGTCATATAGAAAGTCAAACTATATAGAAAGTTCCTAAATCAACTGAATCATAATTTGCACAGAAACTACAGCATGGGAAAAGAACAAGCAAGAACACAAAAAGAGTAGCACAACTTACTTTGAGCATCTACGAACAACCACATTAGCAAGTGGAGAGAGCTCAGCTATCCAATTCCTGCCAGCTGATGGAGACCTTTCCATCTCCTCAAATTCTTCATTAAAAGAATTTCCCTTTCCAAATAGCCATTTAAATGATCCTTCTCTTAATAAACCCTCAAGCGCACTTCTAGTTTTGTTTGCCGTAGGGCTAGCCATCTCTAATCTTCACCTAACTGTATGATCAAGTGAAAATATAGCCAGTAGCCCATCAAAGTCATCTCATCCCATAAACATTCCACCAAAATCCTTCCAATCAGCACATATACCTATTGAGACAAAACACTTAGCAAAACTACTTATTACTCATTCAACTCTATCTAACATACAAATTCCTAGTTGTGCAATCTAATCTGAACAATTCGTTAAAAGCCCAGCACAGACTATTATCGTCAAAACCCAGCTACTAAATTCACCAACAACCTAACCCAAAAACCATTCTTCAATTAATCACCAGACCAAACCACACCCTTGACCTTAACTCAAAATCTCATATTTAACTAGGGATTATATCAATTCTTACAACACTTGTGCTAAAATGGATGTACCACAATCTTTATCTCAATAAAATGAAGAAGAACAATACCACATCAAAAAGAAACTGTACCTTGACGATCAAATTCTCTAAAATCCGACAAGAATTCCACAAGCCCACCACAGATCAAGTTCAAGGAACCATTCTACAAGAACCCATTTGACTGAAAACGCAGACTTATAACAAAATTAAATTTGTCAAGCAGAAAAGGAAAAGCAAAGAAGATAAGCACCTTCTAGTTCAACATTGGGTGGTTTATTGTTAGAAATGATGCTATCTTGATCTGGGGTTTATCAGAAAGAGTGGGGGATGAAAAAAGAGAAAAGAATGAATGTTAGTTATATAAGAAAGAGAGATGCGGTGAGAAGAATCTTGCGAACTCAGTGTTACTCAAGTTCACGTCACCATACCTATTGATTGGCAATTTAAATTCCATCCAACCTTCTATTTATTTATTATTATTTATTATTATTAATATATTTATGCAACTCGCCTATTTCATCTAATTTTATAAATTTTAAAATTATAATTATATAATTTTAAAATTTATAAAATTTAAATTAATAATTTTTAAAAAAAAATTAAAATCTGATCAATTAAACTATACTCCTTAAAATTTTATTTATTTATTTTTATGTTTAGAAAAATTATATACATACTAAATTTTAAATATCACTTAAAATAATAAAGAAAAATATAAATTACTTCAAGTTTATTTTTATAGTCAATTTAATAACAAAACACTCTTATATATTAAATATTATAACTTTATCATCGTATTAAAAACAATAAAAAAAAACTTTTATCAAATATATGTTTTGTTCAGACAAGAAGATAAAGATTATTATCAAGTTAAGATATGATCACCCCCTTAACAATTAGTCAATAAATTAATATTTTTT